ACAAAAGAGCTGTCAAAGAGGAACCTGGGTTAAGCAAATGAGGCCAAAGAACTAGTGCAGATGATCATAACAATCAACAGCTTAGCCTGATGTACAATTTACTATCACCTGGAAGAACCTCTGTACCACAAGTGATACCTATCATTATTTCTTATTGCTAACCTGTGGGGCAATTACAAACTAACTGACAAAATTAACATCAAGAGAAACAAAGGATTAATTGAAAATGATTTACACACGTGTCCTCAAAATTGTAGAAAAGAGAAATGTTATTCCAACACAACAGGAATGCCTGGCAACTACTCAACAGCTCCACATACTCAGACCCCTCTCCAGGGAAGGCTGGGAAACACCATGTGGGAAGATATGAAGGGTGCTATAATCGACTCTGTTTAGAGACAAATTGCCCCTACATATAGATATATGACTATAGGTCATTAAATATGAAATGTCTGATTTTGAATAAAAAGTTTAGTTTATTATATCTCAAACAAGAAGCAGTATAATTAATCAAAGTATGTGCCTAAACTATTGACACAGTTTTGCCACCTTAAGGGTAGCTTGTTTCTGCCAGCAACAAAGAAGCCTGGAGAGCAAGTAGAGATGAAACTGCGAAAGGCATTTTCCACAGCTTGTTGAGAATGGAGTATTTTTCCTGGCAAGAAGTGGTCCAAAGCCTGGAAGAAATGGTTGTCAGTTGGCACAAGGTCTGGTGAATATGGTGCATGACAGAGAGTTTCCAAGTCCAGCCTCTGTAGCTTGAGCAGCATTGTTTGGGCGACATGTGGTTGAGCGCTGTCTTGTAAGAGGATTAACCTGTCTCTATTGACCATTCTCAGCTGCTTAATCGAGAGCATCCTCATTATTTAATCCAACTGATTGTAGCAGACACCCACTGTAATCAACTGACCATGTTTTGTGAATCTACAGTGGATAATACCAGCACTGGACCACCAGACAGACACCATTAGCTTTTTTGATGAATATTTGGTTTTGGACTGTGTTTTGGCACTTCATCTTTATCCAACCCTTGTGGTGAATGCTTGTGATTATCAAAAAGAATCCGTTTTTCATCATAAGTAACAATACGGTGTAGAAATGGTTCACCTTTATGTTGTGACAGCAAAGGCAGGCAAGCTCTTCGAGACAATTTCTCTTCTGATGTTAATTTAATTCATGCAGTACACATCTATCCAGCTCCTTTACCTTGCCCATTATTTTCAAATGGTCCAATATTGTTGGAATAGTAATGTCAAACCTTGCTGTTAATTTATGTGTAGGTTGAGATGGATTCGCTTCTACTATAGCTTTCAGTTCATCATAATCCACATTGGTCTCAGGTCGACCATGTGGCTCATTTTCAAGATTAAAACCAACAGAATGGAACTTCTCAAACCATTGATGTACTTACTGTGCATTCATTAGCCACATCCTTCCCAAACATTTCATTGATATTTCAAGCTCTCTGCCCTGCACTGGTCCCATGACAGAACTCATATTCAAAAATAATACAAATTTTTAACTTATCCATGGTTTCATAAAAATTGTTCTAAAAAAGTTTTGAAAGATAATCACAAGCCAAAAGGTGCAATTTGAAAAAATGAGGATGTACCTTCACAATAAAAAAAAAGAAGTGTCAAAGTGAAATGTCAGAGATATCAACTGTCAAACTTAGTACTTAAGGAAATCAGACATTCCATACTTAATAACCTATTATAATAAAGGTGCTATGGTTTGAATGTCACCTCCAAAATTCATGTTGAAACTTAATCTCCAATGTGTCAGTATTGAGAGGTGAGGCCTTTAAGAGGTGATAGGATCATGGGTTAATGGATTATCATGGGATGGGAACTGTTGGCTTTTGTTTGTAGAAACGAGGTCTCTCTATGTTGCCCAGACTGTTCTGGAACTCCTGGCCTCAAGTGATCTACAAGCTCGGCCTCCCAAGTGCTAGGACTACCAGCATGAGCCACTGTGTCCACCCTGGTGGCTTTATAAGACTGATCTGAGGACATTCAGCCCCCTTGCCATGTGATGCCCTGAACTGCCTTGGGGCTCTGCAGAGTCCCACCAGCAGGAAGACCCTCACCAGATGTCCTGCTGGACCTGAACTTCTCAGCCTCTATAACTGTAAGAAATCAATTCCTTTTCTTTATAAATTACCCAGATTCAATATTCTGTTATAAGCAACAGAAAATGGACTAAGACAAAAGGGCACTTTTTTAAAAGGGTGTTTGTTAAGAAAACAGAGTCTAATATAATTTCAGTAATTATTTGATGTCCACACCCCAGCAAGAAAACTCTCACCTGGAGAGAAGAAGACAGACTATGCAAATGGCTGGAATGAACAATATTTGCTAGCACAACAAAGTGACTATAATCAGCAATAAGTTAGGGTATACTTTAAAATAACTAAAAAAGTGGAATTGGAAAGTTAACACAAAGAAATGATAAATGCCTGAGATGATGGATACCCTGATTTGATTAATTCACATTGTATGCCTGTATCAAAACATCACACGTACCATACAGAGATATAAAACTATTATGTACCCGTATTAAAAATAAAATTTTTAAAAAATATTGTTTCAAAAGACTGTGCATAGGAAAGGCAGTGCTGTCAGCATGATCAGCCACTTTTTAAAAGGAGACAATAACATGGCTTGACTGTTTTAAAGGTATGCTCCCATTCGGGTTCAACAGAACTCCCTGTTCAAATTTTCTTTAATAATGTGAATTCTGAAATTAATTTTACAACATACTCCAAAAAGTATTCTCACACTGGAGAGAAAGTTTGAGGCAAAAACAAAAAATAATAAGAGGCCACTGATTCAGCACCATGGACAGTGCACCCAGCATTTGCCTGCAGGAGTCCTTGCTACCAGGGCAGAGAGCTGAGAAACACCAGAGCTGCCCCAAAATCTACAGTATTTGTTTTAATGTTTAAGTTGGGGTAATGCCAATATATGCGCAAGTATTTTTCTTGGTTATGGCCCAACGCACAAGCTTTCTTCACCAAGGGGACACACAATTTCCATCTACCAAAATCTGCTCCAGTGACTGCCTTTATTTCTGTGAAAATAGGAATGGAATGACTTAGCCATTGACACGTGGCTAAGGATCCAGGACCTGAAGTCATAGAAGCTGATACACAAAACCCAAATTTGAATGGCTAGATTATTTTAAGGACCTCGTGGGACTTTTCAAATTTATAAATGCAGCCTGCTCTCAGCCTCTCTTGGACAAGAGAGAAAAAGCTTCTCTAAACAGGTAACAAAATGTACCTATGTGTTGAATTTTTTTTTCTCACAAATAGCTAAAAATGTAACCATAATGTTGTGTGGATCTTCCCCGACTAGAGATATTTGGAAAAGTGCTGTTGTAAGGTCCAATACCACCACCAATCAGCACCACCTAAGGCAACAGCAGCCATGAAGCCTTGAATTCAGGTTGACAAGTTGTTCAAACTTTTCAGTTATAAAGACCCCATTTGCCATCAAAACTTTTATAAAATCCTTTTAATATTAGGTATCAGCTAAGAAAATACATGAAGTCATATCAATTCTAAAACATTTGTAACGAACTTGCACTGCATAAACATCATCTGCATACAAGTGAAAAACAACACTGCTCAAAAGTGAAAGTCACCAGTTGGTTAGTACTGCCCTTGCGTGTGAAGACCCCTCACTTGCTGACGGATCCCCAAGTCTGAAAACACCGCCCCGAACTCCTCCTCCAGCTCCTCTCGTGTGAGGGTCGGCCGAGTCTTTTCAGATCTTGCCAACAGCCCCCACCGCACCCCACCCCGCCCTCAGAGTGCCACTGCTCTGCAAATACTCCCTTCTGGAGCAAAATGGATATCTCTGAGACATTTTAGAATGAGGAATTGTTGCTGAACATGAGGAGAGTGGGAGTCAGTTCTCTTCGATGGGGAAGTATCCCTCTACACTTCCTTTGGGATCCTCACCTGAGTAGCCCAAAGAACAGACAAGAGGAAACAGCCTGGCCCTGAAGGTGAGGTCAATTTCGGAGGCGTGTGCGAAGGCCTGTGCCAGGCATGCGTTGAAAGGGAGGGTCTGTGCGTCACCGGTCGAGTCCCTGCCGGTCTCCCTGCGAGGCCCTGCTGCCCACGACTCCCCTCGCGCACCACTCGCTACGAATCCCCGCCGGCCCACAGAGCAATTAGACCCGCAAGTCGCCGTCGCCTCGAAGGCAGGCAGGAGGGGGGCAGCCAACCCTGAGCCTCAATTTAGGACCTGACTTCGAGTTAACTTTGAAATGTCTTGTGCAAGCAACACGCTTCAGAGTAGGGAAATACTGGAAAACACCGCCGAGCAAAAAGGAAAAACAAACACTTTCGCTAAACAGTAAATACGAGCGGAACGCTTGTGGGGACGACAACAAACACGTTCCAACCCCTCCACCACCACAAAAATAATAATAAAAGAAGACACAGTGACCAGAGAAGAGGGAGCTACACCCGCCCGGCCAGCTCCGACCCCCGGGTCGCCGAGAGGCCCTCGCGCCCCCGGGCCGGCGGAAGGGGTCCAGGAGGCCGCCCGGGCGCTCGGTCCCGGCCCGGCCCGGCCCAGAGCACGCTGCCCGCACCTCGCCCGCACCGCCCGCGCCCCTCGGCTCCTCGCCGCCCCGCCGCCCCGCGCCCCGCGCCCCGCTGCTCCCGCCGCGGCTGTTTCGGTTGGTTCCCCCAGAAGCTCTCCTCAGTCGTGAGAGGAAATTTGTGGCTTTTTCCCGAAAGCGAAGCGTCGTGAAGTCCGCTCCCAACCCGCTGCGCGGGGCTGCGGCGACCGCGGACAACTCCCGACCCGCGTCGGCGCCGACTCCGACGGCGCCTGGGGCCCGGGGCCCGGGACCGGGGCGGACGGCGGAACCGCGCCCGCCGCTTGGGCTAAGTTCACGGGGCCCGCGGGGCGCCCCGTCCCGCCTCCACGGCTCCGTCCGCCGGGACGCGAAGGGAGGCTCTGGCCGCGCCGCTCACTCACCTGTCCCGCGCGGACGGCGGCCCCGCGCCGCTGAGGTAACCGGGCGGGCGGGCGCGAGGCGGCGGCCACCGCAGCTGAGGCGGCTGAGGCAGCTGAGGCGGCAGCGGCGGCTCCCGGCGCTCCTGCCAGAGCGCTGCGCGCGGCGCGGACCCGCCCCCTCCGCGCCGCCACCCAATCCCGCGCCGCGCGCCTCCTTGGCCCCGCCCCTGCCCGAGGGCAGGGCCCAAGAAAGCGGGCGCCGGGACCCAATCGCACGGCGGTACGGCGGCCGGCGTGGCCAATCCAAGCGCGGGAAGCTCTCCGGGGTCGTGGGACAGGGGGAAGCCAATTAGCCCAGAAGGGGCGGGAGCGGGTCGGGGGAAGTAGGGCCCCTGACGAACGGGGGCGGGGCCACACATTAGGGTGAGGAGGAGGCGGGGCCGCGAAGGGGAGGCATCGACCGTGGGCGGGCCGTGGACAAGGGTGGGACGGGAGGTGGGGCCAGACACGTGAAGGGGCGTGGTCCCAGGCCCGGAGTTGGGTGAGGGCTCTGGATGAAGCAAGTCTCACGGCTGGGGGCGGGGCCCTGACCGGGGCGGGGCTCTGGCCAGGCGGGGCAGGGGGCGGGGCTCTGGCCGGGCAGGGGGCGGGGCTCTGGCCGGGCGGGGCTTGGGCTATGGCCGGGCGGGGGGCGGGGCAGGGGCGGGGTGAGGCTCTGGCGGGCCGGGCGGGCCGAACCCGAGCCAGCAGCCAGGGCCCACAGGCCAGTCCACTCCGCTCTGTCGCCGGTGCTCGTCCCGGCCAGTCCCGGGCGCGCAACTGGCCCGGAGTCCGCGGCCAGAGCGGACTGGGGCGGTCAGTTAAACGCGTGGTCCCCGTGCCCTGCGAGGCCCGGCCCAGGCCCCCGCCCAGGCCCCCAGCCCACCCCTGTGGTCCCCGCCCAGCGACCCCCTGCGGTTCGCCTGCGCAGGTGTCGGCGTCTGCACACCTGTCCGCACACCTGTCCGCACACTGCCCGCTCACCTGCCCGCACACCTGCCCGCAGGTGAAGCAGGCATGGCGACGGATACCGGAACGTCTGTGCTCGGTTCTCTCTCCGTACTTCCCAGGCTGAGTTTTGCTTTGTTTTGTTTCTATTCGGTCATCTTCGTGGGGCGGAGCTCTCCGCGTCCCGCCCGAGGACCGTGGCCCGGGACGGCTTCACGCGCGCGGCACCCACGGAAGGAGCCGGGACGAGTCCTGGACGCCGGGGCGGCCCGCGCCCTCCTCGCCGGCTCTCGGGCCTCGCGCACAGCAGCGCGCAGCCCGCGGCGCCAGGGCAGGCCCCTATGTGGCGGCGCGCAGGTGCGCAGAGGAGGCTGCAGGTGGGATTGAACTCTCCCCACCCTGCCGGGAGACCTCACAAACCGCCCACCCACCAGCGGTTCACTGTGTCCCGTGACCCAGCCAGCCACAATAAAAATGTGCCTTAGCGAGAGTAGGGTCCACACCCAGCTCCCTGCCTCCCTGAGGGGCAGGAGGGCCACTGGAAGCCCCCTCCCCGCTCTGGCACAGCCTCAGGGGTTCAGTCATTTCGTGACTCAGAGGTCTTGGAGTGCTCCCTGGTTCCAGAGCCTGCCAGGCCCGCATTACGGCAGGGGCCCCAGAGGCAGGTGCAGCCGCTGGGAGCAGGCACCCTGGCATCCGCTCAGAGTTCTGGGCTGTCCACGCCAGAGGCAGGGCCTCGGCCAGCTGGGCTGGTGGGTAGGGAAGACATGTGTCCTCTTTCGTCTTCACATGCCACTTGTGTAATTCAGACAAGGAACAGACCTGGGCTGGGCTGGGAAGGGCATGTCAGGAGCCCTTCCACAGAGGCTGGGAATCCCAGCAACAGCTGGGTGGAGAGTCCCTCCAAAGGGAGGTCATGTGGCAGGGGCCGTGGGCCTGCCTCAGGAATGTGGGTGACGGGTGGCGCGTCTGGAGCAGGGATGCACAGCCGACCCTTGCTGTGTGTTGAAAAGGACCACTCTGGCAGGAGGCAGGGAGTGAAGCAGGAGAGGGAGGCCGGGCACACAGCCTGGTCCACGGGTCCTCCCAGTCGGAATGCTGGGGCACGACGCCGTGGCCGGGACCTTACTGGGATGGCACAGCAAGGGATGTGGCAGGCCACCCCCCAGGACTTGGACCAGGGAGGGAGGCCTAGAGACCAAGGTTGCCAGGTTTGCAGCACCTGGACCGCATGGCCCTTCTGCCGGCCTCACCTTGACTTTGCAGGCAGAGGGGCCAAGGGACCTGGGGACTCTGCTCTGGAGACCGGAGCTGGGGCAGGGTCTGGGCAGAGCCCTCTCGGTGCCCTCCGGGATGACAGGCTGCCAGCCGCCCACATCCTGGTCCTCTCCGGGAGCCTGCAGCCTCCGCCGCCTTCACCGAAGCCTGAAAGACATGCGTAGTCATTAGGAAAGTAATGATAGTGTTTTCAGGGCAGCGCGTTGGACCCTAACAACTCTCAATTATCACCAGTTCCTGCCAACTCTGGGAAGGAATAAAGCAGCTCCGCTCACCGCCCCGCCCCGGACACACAGAGGAGCCAGGCCTGCTAGGGACGCCAGGCTGCTGCAGGGCAGCCCCGCCCAGCCCAGGCCACGACAGCTGGGCCGGGCCCCTCCCTATCCCTCTCCCCGCACAGGACTCCCTGCCGCGCATGGGCACCGAGCGCGCTGCCACTGCCCTCCCAGTGGCTGTCACTGTGGTCCTGCCTGGCAAAGTGCACCCGGGGCTCATGGTTATAAATAACTCCAGGGCGTCTTGTTAGGGGTCATGCAGAGTGGGGAGGAAGGAGCCTGGTGATTATCCCCCTGGAATGATGTCAGATGGAGCCCTAGGAAGTCTCCCAGCGCCCGGCCTCCTGATTGTCACACACATCCCTGCCACCAGAGAGTTGGAGGCAGCTGCGTTATCGCAGGCTGGGACATCTGGAGGGGTGGGGGCGGGGAGCCTCCTCCAGCTCCGTATTAGATGGCTGTAAGTGCTTGGAAAATAGTTACACACAGAAAGCAGTCTCACTGGTAATTAACGTCAAAATCCTCTGAGACGTTCCTGCCTCCGCAGGCGCCCTTGGGAAGCTCAGCCCTGCTCGCTGCGGGGAGGGAGACCCGGCGCGCTGGACGTGCGTCTGGGATGCAATGACCTTCCGCTGGACTCCACCCCCACGCCCAGCCTTTGCGCCACCCTCATCTCAGCCCTCAACGGAGCACGTTTTACCCAGGGGTTAACCGGCAGCTTGGGGAAAGGGCACAGTGCCACTAACATCCTCTTCACAGGACACTGCAGAAGTCCCTGTTCCAAGGACCAGGCCCTCCCTGCACAGGTGCAGCGGTCCTTGCTCGTGAAAAGCTGCCTGTGGGGCAGGGCCGGTTCTGCTGAGCTCGGAGAAGATTCCCCGACAGCTGGAGAGACCGTGTGGAAATGAGAAAGCAGCCAGCCCCTGTGCTAGCTGCCCCAGTTAGGGAAATACAGAAAAACGAAAAACCCTCGGACTTGAGCGTGCTCCTTTTCGACATCAGAATCATAATAAACGCACCTGACCTAACTTACCTGGTTGCAGTTGTGTTTGTACTTTTACTAGGCAGGGCAATTAAGGGGGTTCCCCCCACCCCGTGCCCGCTCCTCACCAAGCAGCAGCCACACATTGCGTCACCTGACTAGCCCCTGACACTGTGACCGGGGCGCCTGCATGGAGACAGCAAAGCTGCGGCTAGCCAGGCTTCCGAAGTGCCCCCAGCACAGCTGACGGTGACAGCCGCAGCAGTCAGAGCACCCCCGGAAAAGTGCCCTAGGAGGGCGGTAAGCAAGGATGGCGCGTCCAAAGGAGACCCGGCAAAGGCAGAGAGAGAGAGCAGTGTGGGTGGGGTGGCACCCAGAGGGACTCACACGCTGCCGTCCGGGGCTGGCCAGGCAACCTGCACCCTCTGGCCACCCTCAGCCTCTCCCGGGGCCACAGCTCAGCAGCCTCAGGAGCCCCAACAACCTTATCTCCAGGCACCCGTCCCCGCCCTGCCCCCACGCTTGAGTGCAGAGTGACCGCAGACTTGGGGGGCTGCGCGTTTGGGAGGGCGGGCGGCGGTGGTGTCCTCACCACAGGTGCAGGAGTTATCCCAGTGCTGGCGACTGGGTTTAAACCCCGCACAAAGCAAGTGTCGCTGGACCGGAGGGAAGAGGCTCCCTGGAGGAGAGCAGGAGCCCCGCACACGCCGGGCCTCCGCAGCTGGTGTGGAGAGAGGCCCGGAACTCCCCCAGGGGCCCCCATCCTCCCCATGGGCCGGTGTGGGCTGCCGGCGTGCTCGCGGCCCTTCCCACGCTAGAGCCCGTGAGTCACTGGCCTGCCCTGCACTGGCATCGCGGCCCAGACACCTCGGGCGCCAGAGTGCATGAGTCACTGCCAGCAGAGAGAGACAGAGAGGGAGACAGAGACAGGGAGAGACAGAGGGAGAGACAGAGACAGAGACACAGAGATAGAGCAGGCAGAGATAGAGACAGAGAGAACAGAGGGAGAGACAGAGAGACGGGGAAAAGAGAGACAGAAACAGAGGGAGAGACTGAGACACAGACCAAGGGAGAGACAGAGACAGGGAAAAGAGAGACAGAGAAAGAGATATAGAGGCAGAGAGGGAGGGATGGAAAGAGGCACAGAAAGAGAGACAGAGATGGACAGGGAAAACAGAGACAGAGACAGAGGGAGAGACAGACAGAGACAGAGACAGGGAAAAGAAGGACAGAGAAAGAGAGGCAGAGAGACAGAGATAGCGAGAGACAGAGAGGGAGGCAGAGGGAGACAGAGGCAAGGAGAGACAGAGACAGAGGGAAAGACAGAGGGAGAGGCAGAGACAGAGAGAACAGACCGAGGGAGAGACAGATACAGAGACAGAGACAGAGGGAGAGAAAGAGAGAGGCAGAGGCAGAGGGAGACACAGAGGAAGAGACAGAGACGGGGAAAAGAGAGACAGAGAAAGAGATAGAGGTAGAGAGACAGAGATAGAGACAGAGAGGGAAGGAGAGAAAGAGGCACAGAGACAGAGGCAGGCTGGGGGAGGAGACCCCCCCACACCCTCCAGCTCTCCTTCTGCCTCTGGGCCCCTCCCCCACTGCAGGCA